AAAAGTTAATTTGTTAAAAGGGTATCATTTAAGTTACCACTCAAAGTGGAAGTCGTGGATTACTTCAAATGTTTTGTCCTTAATTGTCCACAATTTGCAGCACAACAAAAGCACAATCACTGTCAACATGCATCCCAATAAATGACAATTGGTTATAAATGTTTTTTGGCTTTGGGGGTAAGGGGGGCAAGCACATCATTTAAAACATTTGTTCCTAATGTGATTTGGAAGTCTCACAGATAAGCTTCAGTAATTGTATCACGCTGTCAGCATACCATGCAAATGGGTTATCAACTCCAATTTATAACTGTAAATATGTTAACCTTTCTTGTCCAACCAAAAATTTTTCCCACAATAAACTCAAAAGCTATACAAGTAATATTTTGACACTGGGAAGAGAAAAGTAAATTTGAAGCTGTGATGAAATTTTGGAATCCTTACAAGATAATAACAGCTACCAAAAAAGTTTGGACCCCACATACCCTCTCATGATGAGAGATAAACAGAAAAATAATCCCTGCAGATTTTTCTTACATATTGCCTTTCACCATGACTGAATATAGGGGCAACCTCCCTGGACTACTACATAAAATAACTGATCACCACATCAAGAGGTAAACCACCCAGCAGGGTACAACCCTGCAGCACCATTCAGACCCTCGACAAAAGCATTAAATTCAAATCAGGTGCTTGTGCTAAAAGCTTATCTTATCTCTGGCATGCTTTATCTTGGAGATTCCTAAACCAATCCTTTCATAAGACCTATGAGTTTATTACAAGTTCAACCCAAAACATGCAGTCAAACAGCTATTAAGTTTCGTTTGGAAAAAGAAAAACTTGATATCGAACAAGGGTACCCACTTTTCAATTCAATTCCATGTCTTTAACCGTCAGCTAGAATTGTTTGCACGAAATCCAAATGCATTTAGATTTAAAAAGAAGTAAAGCATGAGTAATCTGAGACATCAGGTATTCAGTACAAGTTATACGCCAATGCTCAACAGTCCATTTTGATAGAAGAATGATAAGAAACCACCCTTCACTGGAATGAACAGTATCAAAAAATTGTTACTATGCTAGCTGGTATAGGCATGATGTATCATTTATCTCCTCTATCAAAAATTATGTATATCCAAGTGGAAAACATGAAAAGATGACCATGATGATAAAAGAGTAATCAGAAGACCAATGCCTCCTCCATCTCCGTTAAAGGTGTAGAACAGCAGTCTAGTTACCTTCTGATTATTAAACATAATAAACTACCAACAGTCAAGGACACCAAACCATGTAGTCTGTTTCCAATTAATCAGAGCATCACAACTGCAGTTTCCACTGCTTAAAAGAATTGATATCATATAGAAGATTTAAACCTAAAATGTCTTCTATATGCTGATTACATAATAGTGTGGAGCTTAAAATTTCAATGTTCCTATTTGATCCAAAATTAGGTATTTTACAAACAACACAGCTGACATTCTGCCAAAATAGCTACTTTCATGCTACAAGCAAGTCAAGGAAAGATTTGCATTATCCTCACAGGAAAGGCTATTAGTGTCAAAATAACTGTTTGATTTCGAACATAAACACATCAAACAGCTCAAATCTCATTCATCATTAATTATGTTGCAATTATAACAAAAGAGACCTTGGTATGTGAAAACAAATACCACCTTTAAAGAGAGGTTCAAAATAGAAGCGAAGAATTACATCACACAACCAATTACCAATAATCTAACCCACTATATTTTCCAATTAAAAGCAATTTCAGAGTATGAGCCCCTCCACCCCCACCCCCCTAAAAAAAAAAAGAAAGGTAATCATGAATAGTTGACATACTGAAACAAAACAGAAGCACTTCAAGGAATTTCCATCCTGCCCAAGACATCGTCGCTTCAAAGCGTAGAATTCCTGCATACTGAAGGGTTATGCCACAAAGTAACGCATAAAGCCTATAGGAACGATGCAGAGTAAAGAAAAAGGAAGAAGAAAAGTTCTGAATGATATTTCACATTGTTACAAAATTTACAAATATGATTCCCAATATATCCCTGCTTCCTAGCCCATCAAAGATGGCATATTACAGAGAAAATCTTGAACATACACATGTTCAATTATACAAGGCCATCAATAAAACTGTTTTTTCTCCTCCCTTCTATACATTTATAATTCATTTTTCACATAAAATACATTTGAGATTCTTACACTTCAATTTTCACTAAATTCATTTCAAAACCTCTCACAATAAATGTATTTGTTTTGCACCTTACCTGTTCAGCATACTTTCTTTTATAACTATCTGCATGCCTGAAAATTGATAAAATTGTCATAGTTAATAGTTAATACTGAAAAAAATGAAACTTCGCAAATATAAAGCATAGAGAATTTGGTATAACTTGTGTCTGTGCATGTCCATTTGTGAGAGAGAGAAAGGGAGAGGGAGGCATGAGAGTTGGGGCCCAGGTGAACCTTTCAAGAAACATCAGAAGTATATATGCATGTAAGCATGGAACTGACCGCATATATGATAAGGATTCCCAGTGAGCTTCTGCTCGCAGCCATGCTGCTGTCTGCCATGCAAAGTGAGACATGGAAACAAGAAGTACACTGAAGTACTTTTAGAAAAATAAACAGAAGAAGAAGCTATGTATCTCAAACAGAAAGTACGAAAGAAAGAGCAAAACCAACCCAATATTCTTCATCCAGCACAGCTTCACGAGCAACAAAACGACCAAAGTTTCGCTTTTGTAATCCACAATAGTCCTGATCGCTGGGCTGTAGCCGGTTGAAAGAGAATTCAGATGGTTTTAAGTTATCACTCTTACGAACTGCTGCGTGTTGGATATTTTGATCATTATTGCAATGGACTTCAAAAGTTTTCCATCTACTATATGAAACAGGAAACATCTCCCTGGAAGGATTCGAAGCCCAATGGAGGGGAAACAAGAAAAAAAGGAGTGTGAGATGACAGAATAATAAGAAAAAATGCAAATAACCATAATCCTATCAACCATGGCTATTCAAATCCCAATTCCTAATTCATAAGATGTTAATGGATTGGAGTCTGGATCTTATAGGATTGTAGGATTCCAATCCGAATTGCAATTTTACCCATCCAAGTTGTTGGGTTTGTTTGTTGGGCGCATTTAGTTATTAACCTAACCTAATTTTTATTTACTTTTTTAATTCTTAAAGACTAAATCCAACTGAGATTTTCTCGTACAATTGTCAACCTATTGGAGAATTTTGGCAAATGAGAATATTTACAAAAAGTTTCCCTTGTTACAGTAAGCTTTCTTCATTTGTTCGTCTCTCATTGAAATATTGAAACAACGGTTAGGTTTGATCTCTTCTCTGGCTGAGTGGCTATAGCTAGATAGTCTTCTATTGTCATTCTCTTCTAGTTTTTCTTTTATGTGGAGTAATCGAAGTTATTTATTCAATTGGGTCTCAACTTTCCAGTCTCTCCCCAATATCCATATCTCTCTTAAATTTAAAATCAAAATACTTCAATTCTCATATTACTCTTCGCAAAATCGCACAAGATTATTAGCCCAAGTTTAATTTTCAACCGTCTTCAATACTTAGAGTGTAGTTTCTCAAACTTTAATCCTATCTATAAGTTTTATATATGTCATAACTTTTCTATTTACATATATAGTAGGCTTGTTTAATTCTTGTTTTTCAGAATCCTGTATTGCTATATACATTTTCCGCCACATTTTCTCAGTTCGTAAGATCTTTCAATTTACAATCGATCCTACGATCCTAATCCTTTGAACTCCAACATCAAGCCAACGTAAGATCCTTATTTTAAAAACCTTGCTATCAACCATATAATTGCAAAACTATTTAATTTTACCTAACTCACCTCCATTGTTCAATAATAATCCATCTTGATAACAATAATGACAAAATCAAACAAGGTTTTCACACACTTCATCCATCTTTTAGCATTAATGATTCAAACATCAATTTATTCAAGTGGTCTAACTTTCATTACATAATCTAACCAAACTAGGACAAAAGTCACTCATTTCTTTGACCCACATTAGTTTCTAAAATTGTTGTAACAAACTAAAAGGAAAATATTAGAAAGCAAACGAAAATAAGCAATTTCTAGTCTTCATCTATATGGGGTTTTACCCATTTTTGATTCTATCCGTTTTACAACTTTCTTTTGTCAAATCTCAGGGCATGGTCTAATCATGAGGGTCATCTTTCATCAAGGGGTCATATCTCAAGTTTTTATGAATTCCTTCTTTGTTAATAGTATAGAGGTCATCATCGTAACTATGTTGACCTGGTAACACACAAAAAGTGAAGTGCTGAAAACAGCATAGGAGCCTTCAGAAAAACAACTACTTACCCAGAGAAGGAAAAAGACAAAACAAAGATTTCTACAATCCCTGCACCCTTGATTACGGATATGGATAACAACTCCAATTTTGGTATGTGTTAAACCAAGAGTAATGCTATATTGCCCAAATTGTATCCCAAAAAACTCATCCCAAATGTGTTGGCACCTTCACACACCACACACTTTATGATAAAACTGATTTAAATGTGTGGTATGTGAAGGTGAAGGTGCCAACTCATTTGGGATGAGTTTTTTGGGATACAATTTGGGCAGCATAGCATTACTGTTAAACCAATGGGGTAGAGAGAGTTCCACTGGGCACAAGCCTAACATTTGCAGTATGAGAAATAATTAGAACCCAGAACCTTACAGTTTTTAGCTCTGATCACTCCACCCAGTTCGTATAAATTGCATTGTCAGCAACCGAATATCATAAATTAGACCCATTACAATTATGGGCACAAATATATTATCTGTCTCAAATAAAATAATCATACGTATATGAGAAACAATTAACTGTATCAAGAGAATAGTTTTGCAACAATATACCTGAAGTTGCCAACGACAACAAGAGAGTAGCGTTTGGTGCGCTTGGAGAGCGGCCATGTGGTCGTTTGGGGCAGACGAACTTTGAATTGAGGCACAAATTTACCTTTCAGAATCTCCATTACCTCTTCGTACTCTCATGTGATACCCAAAATGTAGAACCCTAATTCGATAAAAATGATTATGGCAATATATTCATTCACAGAGTGTGTGTGTGTGTGTGTGTGTGTGTGTGAGTGAGAGAGAGAGAGAGAGAGCAAAGGAATGCAAAGGCGAAGCCAAAATCGACGAAAAAATTGCGTAGTTTTATTACCGAAATGGGGAAGGCTTGAATGATGTCGGTCAACGTGGGAGCCACGTGGCAGCAGAAAACAACCCTACACAACACATCATCCACTAACTTTTTACACTTTCTCCTTTTCTCAATTGAGTTTCTAAATTAACTCAAATATGGCATCAATCTTACACATTAAGGAAGGGCGTATGGCGGCAGAATAATATAAGTTCGACGAAAATAGTTTTAAGCATCTTTAAACTTTATGTTTGGATTTAAAATTTAATCTTAAATTTTTAAACCCAGTTCATAATTGACTCAAAGATTAAATTCATGATTATGAATTTCGTCAAATTTAGGAGAAGATGGGTTTAGAAAGATGTGTTAAGAGGTTAAGAATACAAAAGACAATTATATCGTTTAACATAGTATGAATTGAATTGATCAAAAGTAAAATAGTCAATTAAAAGACAAATAATTATTAATAATTATAATATATTTGTAGGTCATATATATATATGTGTGTGTGTGTGTGTGTTGCATACCAAATATGGGTATAAATCAGATTCAATGTTGAATTTCATCTTTGTAAAGAGGGGTTTGAATTTGGAAGGGTGTGAGAAAGCCAATCCAAACCCTCCCCAAAAATTCATTCAAACAAACCCTTAAATATTTGGTATAAATTAGTGGATTCCACTAATCTAAGCATCTACATTGATTTAGAATATAAAATTTAATAAATATAACTGATGATCCCAGTTCTAATTAGGTCAAGCCTAATAAATCAAGCAAACTCAAGTCAGCTAAAAGACAGCCTAAGCCCACTTTACCGATCTGATACAATCCAAAATCCGAGGAGATCAGGAAGATAAAAATACGTGAGAGAGAGAATATCGGGATATACACTCATTAAGATCAATCCTACATTAATTGTACTTACCAAAGAGGTGGTGCCCTCTCTCTTACGTCATCGTCTCACCAAATCTATATATTGTAAGCTCTCTCCACATGAAGAGGCATCTCACACACACATCTCAACGCACCTTGGCATACCTCTGCACACTAATTTTATCTTTCCTAACCATTACAATTCTCCTGGAGTGTGTTCTCTCAGTTACTTTATTCATCAATAAAGACCTCTAGCCACCACTACATTTCCCGATAGTAGAGTAAGTCACTCAGACCGAACCACTATATATCTGCGTGTTTGCCCATATTTACTGTTTTGCCTCATTAATTGCATCTCTTCATATACTCTATTATTGATCTTGCACGAAACCAATTTGTGCATCATCAGTTTGGTGTCGTCTGTAAAAAATGACTAAGTTTTCTATCCTCTTCTAATTCATGGCAATCACAACCAAATCGATGAGTCAACAACCGGGAGACAACAACCCGGCCAATCAAGAGGAGGCTCTGCCTCCCCTCGCACCCTCAGAACCATTTACTACTGCAACTCCCGTCGTCGGGCAACAACTTTTACAGACCATGCAGCTACTGGTAAATCAAAACCAGCAATCATCCAACTGATGCTCACCTCGGAAGGCGCTGCCCCTCAGCCTATGGGAGCAGTACTCCCCCCGATTGGAGAAGTGCCACAACCTCACCACTCTGGGTGCTAGGGTGTTCCTCCACTACACGCATACACCACACATACTCTTCTTCCTCATGTACCTGCACCACACACAGTTGACCACCTCAAGTAGGAGGATGAGGGGGAGAACCAGTATGCAGATCATAAGAGCTACTACCATGATCCGACAAAACATGTTCCCAACCAATGTGACGAAAAGATCAAAGAGGTGCAGGACTAGTTTGGCGATGCCCTCAACGCTATCAAAGCACAAGCGCTAGAGACAGTGGATTACTTGGTAAGGTGCACTGACACCCCGTTTATGGTAGATGTTGTCGACTACCCTTTACCCTTAAAGTTCAAGATGCCCACCATTGAGATCTTTGATGGCACCAAAGATCCCATCGACCATCTCGACACATAAAAATCTCTCATACAACTCCACAACGTGCCTGATGAGATTATGTGTAGAGCCTTCCCTACCACCCTCAAGGGATCCACACGTCAGTGGTTCGCTAACTTCAACCCTTCTTCCATCCACTCTTTTGCAAAGTTAAGCAAGTCTTTCGTCTCTCACTTCATTAGGGGACACCGACACTAGAAATTGGTTACCCATCTACACACCATCAAGTAGGACCTAGATAAAAGCCTTAGGAGCTACCTCGCTCATTTTAACGAGGACCTAGATGACAAGGTAACCATGGCTGCCTTTATCGCAAGTCTGTGCCCCTCTAGTTTCATGTTCTCTATCCTAAAAAAGCCATCATCCGGCATTCCCAAGTTGCTATCAATGGCACAAAAGTATATGAACGTCGAGGATGTCACCAAGGCTAGATAGGGTGAGTCCTCTCACAGGGGTGAGAAGAGGAAGGACAAGCGTAAAGAAGAGCGAGAAGCTGAGAACAAAAGGAATAGAACAGAGAGAATCTCTGTCAAGGACCGCCTTGGTCCGCCGTCTCTGAGAGAACGACAAGCCTTCATGTCGCTCAATGCGTCCGTGGAGCATACCTGTTCCAAATACAGGATGATTCTATAGTACGTTGGCCAGTTAAAATGAAAAGCATCCCGAATCGTAGGAACCTGAACAGTACTACCGTTTCCACCACGACCACGGCCATGATACTGATGACTGTTTTGATCTTAAAAGGCAGATCGAAGAACTCATACAGCGTAGCCAGCTGAGGCAGTACGTGGCTGGCTGAGAACCAGTTCCACTACCTGGTTAAAATCAGGAGGATCGAGAACATCAGCAACCCCTCGAAGAAATCCAGACTAGCTCTTGAGGGCTAAGAGGAGAAAGCGACTCCAACTCCGCCACAAAAGCCTTGGCCCACCTATGGGACGCCAAACACTTGAAATGTCATTATCAATAACAAGTACAAGCTAGTGGCTCTCATTTTATCTATCCCTTATTGTTTTCAGTTGATTTATTCTGTTATTTATTATTTTATGAAATAAAATTATGTGAAGATTATTGTGTCCATAATTGTCTTTCTTTTATAAAGTTTGGAAAAAGCTTACAAAAGTCATAATATAGACCTAACAACAAGGTACACAATTGTCGTTATATTCCCGATGATCAGTCACTGCTCCCCGAGGCTCTGGTACCTCATATGGGACAAGACCAAAATCAAGTTAAAAACAAGGAAATACCTACATCGAGGAAGGAAAAAATATGGACATTAGATAACATACCTCTTGAATTCTGTTTGTCCATGTGAATGCCTCGACGCTGCCCAAACAACTCGAGGCGAGCAACACGAAGCACCAAGCGCCCAACACCAGGCTCCCAATTCCAGTGCTCAACGCCTCTCAGGCTCCCAGGTCCCCCAACACCTCTCAAATGCCCAGCACCCCTCAGCGCCCTCCTCATCTCCATCTCAATGGAATGAGCCTCTGCCACGACAGCCCTCTCTCGAGCTATACGAAGCTCGGCCTCAACTCCGGCGGCCCTCTCACGGGCGCTTGTAGCATTGACTCTATTCTCGTACAGATAGTCACCTTATCAATTTTCAGCTTTGCACTCTCTTGTGAGTCGCAAAGAAGTTCAGTTTTATCTTATCTCTGCTCTCAAACAGTCTATGTATCTAGCTTCACACTCTCTTGTGAGTCGCAAAGAAGTTCAGCTTTATCTTATCTTTGCTCTCAAACAGTCTATGTATCTAGCTTCACACTCTCTCGTTAGTCACCAAGAAGCTCCGCCTTATCCTACATCTCCTCCCAAGTAGTCTATGTATCTAGCTTCGCACTTTCTCGCAAGTCACAAAGAAGCCCGGCCTTATCCTACCTCTGCTCCCAAGTAGTTTATGTATCCAACTTCACACTCTTTTGCGAGTTTCCAAGAAGCTCGACTTTATCCTACCTCTATTCCCAATAAGTCTATGTATTCAGCTTCGCACTCTCTTGCAAGTCACAAAAAAGCTCGTCCTTATCCTACTTCTGCTCCCAAGCAGTCTATGTATCCAGTTTCGCACTCTTTCGTGACGCAAAGAAGCTCGGCCTTATCTTACCTTTGCTCCCAAGCTATATCCAGTTTCGCACTCTCTCATGATTTTCCAAAAACTCGGCCTCAAGAGGTATTACTCTCTCATGAGCCAACCTCAAATGCAACAACAGCCCCTAGTGCGTGCCTCTCTGTCACCAGACACCTAAATGCCTCTCCAAGCTTGACCATCCTTGAAAAAGGCAAGGATAAGCAGCAACTTCCTACATGAAGGAAAGGAGACGAGTATAAAATCAAAGTTGAGAAGAGAGATACCATGGAAGACACTTCCATCGCGGTATTGGTAATGCCCCTTGGACCTCGAGATTCAACCTTTCTGATATCCCCAGAAGTCACAGACCCCCAAAGCCGCTCCTTGACTAAAGTCAAGTCAAAGTATTGACACCGAGCCACTACTAGAAGTAGAACAGCTATGTGGAGCTACAGTCCTCATAGAAGACCGCACTGGAGTCTCAACTCCTACAGTGGTACAAGGCTAGCTCTGATACACACAGGAGTCACAGTCTAGCAAGGAATGGGAACACCACTAGATCTCGCTCCTAGGAAGCAACCTGGCCATCAGACCTCAGTAGAAAAGCACTAGAGGCATCAAAATCTTTGACACAACAAGAATTTGGGGCATGGAGGGGAAATGATGATCCCAGTTCTAATTGGGCCAGACCTAATAAATCAAGCAAGCTCAAGTCAGCTAAAAGGCAGCCCAAGCCCACTTTATCAATCTGATCCAGTCCAAGATCCAAGAAAATCGGGGAAGATAAAAACATGTTGGGGA